GGGCAAGTGGTGTCCTTGAGATAAGGACTACACCACCGCCACGGCGGTTGGGGCAAGGGATGTGGGAGGTGTAGCCGGGTGGTGTGGCCTCCGTGAGGGGAAGGTGTCGCCTGGGGTGAGCCAGGTTTCCATTAAGGCCATGATGTCAACGCTCTCATCAAGGATGAGATCGTTGATGACCAGGGCCTTGTTACAGAGGGAGCGGACCTTTTGTAGTCCGATGTGGAGGGAGCGGTTGACAGAAGGGTGTGTGGGGAGGGAGGGGGTCCAGGTTGTGAGGCAGGGGTGGGGGGAATGGGGATGAGGGAAGAGAGGTTAGCTCCCCGGGTCTGTGTTCGGGGTCGCTGGCGAGTGTGGTGGGGAATGGGGCAGTCGGTGTGGCTGCTGCTGGACAGCCAACGCCGAGTGCCATGGTGAGCCCGGCGGAGGATTCCCAGGCTGGAACAGAGGGAGGTTGTGGGAGGGTCAAGTGGGGATAGAAGACGAGGGGGACGGAAAGAGAGGAGAACAGAACGGGAGAGATGCAGAGGGGGGAAAGTTTGGAGGGAGGGAGTGAGGGGGCTCAGGTCAGAGCGGCAGACATAATGCGCATGCAGGGACCGGGAGCGAGCGGTCAGGTGGATGGCATTAGCCCATAGGCTGGGGCAGCCAACCCAACAGGACCATGGTGGTCCCTGATGCGAGCCTGTGCAGCTCCCAGCACAGATCCCTTTATAGGCTTGTCATGTTCAGCATGATTACCAAAATGTTCCATCAATAGTGTGAAAGGGCCTTTTCACCTCCCACATTGGAACAAACACATAAGCCATCGCTCACTCCTCCCAGTTTACTGAAGATTAGTGCCGTTGTGCAACAGAGTTATTTTAGGGATCATTGAGCTTCATGAGACAAAGGAAAGATTTATCAATTTACAAATTCTGTATTTCCGAGCTGATAAAGGTGTTTGGCATTGTTTCAAGCTACTGGAAGCAATGTGACTGGTGTCTAACATGAGGAGTCCATTGAGTTCAAATTGTTTCATTATACAATGGGTCCCAATTGCCATTGTACTAAGAATGTTTATATGTCTATTAGGTTTGCACAAGGTGTAAAGTTCTGACAAATTTGTGATGTTCACTCATCCCTCAAGCATTGAATGAGTCCATTCCAAGGATCCTTTGCATTGCACTTGGTGATCCCAAGCTTTATCAAGGAATCCTTTTACATAGAATTAGGTAGAACAGTAAAGCAGGGAAATTGGTCATTCCACCCTACTCGTCAGTGGCTTTGTTTATAATTCCTCCTAGTCTCTTTCCTGCATCCTTCTATTCTCTTCTCCCTCATGCATAATTAATAACAGTCTTTGCATTTGATATAGTGCCATTATCACTTCATCGAGACATTTCAAAGTGCTTTGCAGTGTATATTGTAAACATGTTTCCTCTTAAATACATTGGTGCTTTCTGCTTCTCACCATCCTCTGTGTAAAGAAGTTCCTCCTAAATTCCCTTTCAGATCCACTAAGGGCTACCTTATATTTACGTTCCACCCTTTTGGTCACACCGACCAGTGGAAACAGTCTATTAATATCTACCTTATCAAATTCTTCCATAATTTTAAAAACCTCTGTGAGATCCCCTCTCAATCCTGTGATCTCCAGAGAGAAGACCTCAAACCTGTCCAATTTTCTTGATAGCTGTATTTACTCATCCCTGGTAACATCCTACTTTAACGGTATTAGTGAGCTAGTCAAACTATAAGTCCTTCAATAACATTAAAAACTTAAGCCTGATCTCAGCGTTCTGTGGATGCCCGGACTGGCGGAATGGGCTCTTCGTATTTTAACAGCCCTGACCCAATGCAGTGAGGAGCAGGAGATATAAATCATTCTTCTCACTCTACATTGCCTTATTGCAATAGGGCAATACATGCACTGCTCTGAGATGCTATCCTACATGCAGGGTGCTATATGAGTTCAAGTTGTTGAAGGTGTATTGTAGGAAGTGATATTGTTTTGCTTCCATTAGCTATGGAGAAGGCATTAGTTTCCCATGTGTTAATCTTCTCTGTGCGTCTCACACGTGAAAAAATATGTAATTTCATTTGAGTTATTTATAAGCATTTAGAAGTGTGCAGGTTGGCAAAAACTACTGGAGGAGTTAACCTACACTAACCAAAGTGGAACTCATGGAGTGTAACAAACCTGCTTCCCCTAGTCATACATCATCCCATTGCTTGACTACAAAGTGAGGTGAATATTGTTCTCTGTGAGTTGTCGTCAGGAAATAATTGGGATGAAACCTCCTCCATGAGCTAGAGGCAGTGATGTGGAGACCCAAAAAGGTGGTTGTACATGGATTTCACTTGAAAATTCCTGAATCAGCGTCTTGATGACATGATAAGGCACTATATCAAATGCAAAGATTATTATTATTATCATTACATTGCAGCAGAAATGCATTTTATGCACACAAAGGGCAGAGCCAACACCTGTTCAGCAAATTGTGAAACCAATGAACTTGAGACCACAGGAGAGTCTTACTCTAATCACTAAATGTGTTTACTCTAGTTTTTCTGCTAAGCCTTTATTAATAGCAAATCAATATCCTGTCTGCCTGTTCAGGTGGACGTTAAGAATCCCATGGCACTATTCGAAAAGGGAAAGAGGCTTCTCTCTATATCCTGTGCTGACTGCTATTCACAAGATAATAAGATTGATTCAGCTCATCTGTTTGTATCATTCCTTTTCCAACAAACGTTTTTTTTAAATGAATCCATCGTCCTGGCCTCAGCCACCCTTTCTGGTAACCTGTTCCAGTCAATAATTACTCTCTTGATACAGAAATCCTTCCTGGTGTCAGCTCTGAAAGTACCCTTTGCAGCTGTTATGAAGCTCTTAACTCCAGCAAAGGCCATTCAGGGCATTGCTACCATCACCTTCCTGCAATACCTGACGTTTATCCGGCCAGAAATAGCCACAGGTTTGATTGCAGTCGTGATCTATGGGACAAGCGTTCCTGGAATAGACTTACCAGACTCACAGCTATCAATGAGAGGGATCTCAGATCACTCGCTGAGCAATCTTGGGCCATTTTGCCAACAGTAAAGTTGTTTTAATCCCATCTCTGTGCAACAGCTGATGGGTTTGTACTTGCCGCCAGGGTGACTCCTCACCCATTAACATTTGTCTCCCCTCAGTGGCGCTGCTGTGTGGGCATGTCAGACCTGCCTTTGTCACAAATCCTGTCCAGAGAAAATACAGAAGGTAAAAAAATTCCAATTTGTCCCGTCTGTTCCTGTTCAGGGGGATGTCAACTCCTGTGGTGCTACTCAAAAAGAGAAGGTAGTTTCTCTCCCCCAGAGTCCTAGCCAACAAATTCCCCCAGATAAAATTTGTCGTCCACGCTGTGGCTGTTTGTACGACATTACTGTGGACAAACTGGCTACTGCATTTTGGCCACATAATACACAGTCAATCCACTTCACAGTATATCCTGTGAAGTGTTTTGAGACGTTTTGAACTGCAAGGTACGATATCAAATTCAAGGATTATTATTATTCAACACTTAACCTTTTGTTTCTCTACCAAGAGGCTGCAGTCAAAGTGATTATTTACAGAAAGAGGAGAGAGAGCTTGCATTTTTATAGCATTTATAACCTCAAAATGTCTCAAAGAACCTCAAAGGAAATTACTGTCAAGGGCAGTGACCTTGCTGTAAGCAAACCGTATAAAGGTCCTGATAAAATAATGTTATTTTGGGTTTCTATGAAGTGCAGGGGTTATAGTATTTGTATGTGGATGTGGGGTGTGCCTATAGAAATGAATATTGTGTAGGTGTATAGTGGCTTATTCTACAGCAACCTAAAAGCAGTCGGTATGATATTCTGTGAGTTGATACCATCTCAAGCATAACTGAAGAATCTTTCATTGCCTGGGGTGCACAGTTCTTTATGTTTGCTGCTTTGAGACGTTCTCCTAGGTGAAAGGCGTTGTGTAAGTACAAATTGTTGATGTTATTGTATCTGTTCTTTTTATTGTGAACTTATTTTGTTGTTTTTCTTTCCCTCCTGTGTCTTCACCCCACCCAAAATATCAAAATATCTGCAGGGCATTGCTGTGGGAGCGCTCCATTGTCAGAGGTGCCGTCCATCACATGAGACATTAATCAAGGTCCCATCTACCTGTTCAGGTGGACATTAAAGATTTCATGGCATCATTCAAAAAGAGAAGAGTTTCTCCCGGTGTCCTGGGCCCCAAATTAAATTGATCACTCACCTCATGGCTGCTGTGGACATATACAGTATTGGCTTCCCCATTCACTTACAAAATAATTACTTCACTTCACAACAGCTTCCTCTGAAGTGCTTTTTGATATCCTCTTGATGTGAAAGGCACAAAATCAAATGCAAGGATTATTATTATTTCTGTTATTGTTTAATGTAATATCTGGTGGTGCCCCTCTGACTCACTCCCTCCCTGCCAACTATTAAAGCCCGTCTTAAGACCTATAAATTGCTTCACAGTAATTACTGTTGAGTGTAGTGACTACATATCAGTAGGCAAACACTGCACCTGATTTACAGACAGAGTCCCACACAGCCAGGAGATAAATGGTCCATCAATCCAGAGGATTGTGGGGCCGAATACAGGGGGAACTCTCTTCTCTTTTTGAATAGTGCTTTTTTAACATCCACTGAAACAGGCAGATGAGACCTCGGATTAACCTCTCATCGCAAGGACAGCACCTCCGACAATGCAACGCTCCCCCAGCACTACATCTGAGTGTCAACTGTGACCTAACATGGTAGTTGAACCTAAAACCTTCACAACCACAGATAAGAACCAGGGTGGCAGTAGCTTATGATAAACATAGCAAAATGATAAGGGTACCCCAGGTAACCCTTCCTCTGTGTTCTAAATGCCATCAATACAATTCTCCGCTTTTATATATTTATTGTCAGTTCTTTGCGCAGGAATAATTTTTCCATTCTACATTGCGCCATCCGGTCTCAACTCCTTGTAGCTGCTAAACCACGAACCTCCAGTGAGAATTCCTGAACTAGGCATCCAACCGACACATGATCAGAGTTGCCAAATATAGACGACTTCAGAAAGGGATCCACAGGCACACGACAGATGTAGCTCTCACAGTGCACAGCCAGCCACTGACTGAAGTCTGCTCAAAATTTGATTAATAACTCAAGCGACTGGAGATTTCTTTGGCAGGAAGGGTGCTCGAGAGAATTTTATTGATTCTGCATGAAGCTGTGCCTTTACTCTCTTGCTTCAGACTGACAGGTAGGTCAGCGATCTTTCTCAAGATGGTGAAGTTCAGTAGTTTGCACGGGATCCTTGCTTTATCCGTGCGGAGGTGCTGCTCACTCCAGAAGAAACCACACTCCTGTCTCTGAAAAGGTCCCTTCCACTGACAGCTGGCAGGGCAGGGGGTTATTCAAGTAAATCCTTTTGAAATGCTTAGCTGGTGTGAAAATATCTGGCGTGGATATTTAAAAATACACCTGATTTAACGTGCATTTAGACAAGGGACTGAAGGGCTGGTAAGACTCTCTACTCACTTTCTGCAGTTTGCCAATTTTTAAGCATAAATTTATACCTTGCGGTTTGAGTATGTTTGTCGTTTCTGGATTGAGGTGTCAGTTTGTTGGGATTAAAATTAGGTGATTTCAGAGTTTCACAGCCAGCTGTGGCTCACGTTTATATTAATGTAGTCGAGGAACGTATAATAGTGTACGTTATGTGGGAGCGGTATGCTGGGTAGGAGTCCCCCACTATCAGACCAACAATAATACAAATAACTAATAATAATAAAAATAATAATCCTTGCATTTCATAGAGCGTCTAATAATGTCAAAACATCTCAAAGGGCTCTCACGGGCAATTGCTACCAAGTGCAACGAGCACATAGAGGCAAAACATGCAGGTAATTTGTACACAACCAGGTCCTATGAACAACAGCAACAGTATAACTTGCATTTACATAGCATCTTTCACGCGGGGTAGCAGCTCGGAGCGATGAATCAGCAACCTACTGATCTCGAGGATTCTTGGGCAGGACAAGTGCTCGGAGTGCATGGGGGGGAGTGGGATGGGGGGTGTGTGTCAGCTTTAAATCTCAGCCGTGCTGAGTTCCCGGCCTTAGTGCGGCTCAGGGCTTTCCCGTAAAGAGAGAGGGAGCCAGAGAGAAGCGAGTGCAGAAAATGCCACGTCTCTGTGTAACTCCTGTTCAGTTTCCAGGTCAATCCTCGGGAGCTCCCTATCCCAGAGAGATCTGGAGAGGAGAATAATTACTGTTAAAAAGAAACGGATTCAGCAAAAGATATTATCAAAAAGTTGCAGAAATAATAATACAATAATCCTTAATTTGATGAAGTGCCTGATGAAGTGAAGATAAGTGCCTTATCATGTCATTGAGACGTTTCACAGCGCTTCACAGAATATATTGTAAAGTGGATTGATTGTGTGTTTTGTGGATAAAAATGTCTTAACTTCAAAGCCTAGGAGAGAATCACTTATAGAGCATTCAGAGATTTTGGGAAGCCTGTAATCTAATGGAGAGCATGTTGTCCAGATCTGCTATTTGACCATCCGGAATTAAAGCCTAGAAAGAGTATTAATAGATACTGAGCCCTGCTTTATTGGGAACAGGTTCTAAGTGATGAATCCTTATTCAGTAGGGCTGGCTCATGGCTTGTGTGTACTTACTATGCACACCTATTATCAAGATACCTGGTTCTGACTTCACCAAGTCAGTTGGATGTGCACAATAATAATAAGCCTTGTTTTTGATATAGCACCTTGTCATGTCTCAAAAGCTTTATAGGATTTACATTCATGTGTAGTGACTGCATTTGGAGGTGGACACAGCAGCCAATTTGTGCGCAGCAATTTCCATGTACAGCAATATTTTTAAAAAAAGTTTTGGTTAGCCGAATGTCTGACACATCACCATGCTTAAGAGTATCCAAACTAAGCTGAGATTTCCATGAATCCCACCTACACTGCAATCCATCTCTGGAATCCCAGAAATAGATTGTTGGAATGCAATGCAGACTCTCTTCCTGCTGGGATGCATCCTGGTTACCTAATTCTGGAAAGTATTAGGCACAGGTTGGCAAGAGCCAAAGCTTGAGGACCCCAGAGTGTGTGTTGAGGTATTGCTGGAGTCCAACCAGCTAAAACCGCACAGTTTGCCATTGATATCGCTGTCCAGCAAGCTTTCCTGCTGCTTGTCCAGCTAGGACTCTATCCTAATGGGTAGGGTGGGATAATAATAATAATAATAATACTAATAATAATCCATGCATTTGATATAGCGCTTTTCATGTTTTCTTGACATCTCAAAGCGCTTCACAGAATAGACTATAAAGTGAATTGACCGTATATTTGTGGGCGAAACGCGGCAGCCAATTGCACACAGCAGTGTCCCACAAACAGTCATGGATTGAAAATGTTCAATTTATTATTGTTTTGTTTTGAAGGATTATCATTAGGTGTGTGGAGTAAGGAAACTGGCCCAAGGTTTCGCCCTGCCCAAAATTGAATCCAGGTGTCTCGCTTGCAAGGCGAGTGCTCTAACCACTGAGCTATAGGACTCCACAGGATGACTCCCTATCCCCAGTGACTGGTCCTGTTGAGGCAGGCTGTCTGTGCTATCATCAGCAGTGCCCTGGAATACCGTGGACCCGAACCGGACTACCGAGACGGCCACAGAGGGATGGCTCGATTCCAACATTCCATTGCCAGGCCATGTCACTTTGGCGCCAGTTCAGTTCCAAGGAACCCCGTGCAACCATGAACTGAATGGGCGATTTTTATCTGGGTGATTGTTAGCCAGGATATGGGGAAAACTTTTCAAATAATGCAGGATCTTTAACTATAACCTGAATGTTAATATCTCATGTGAAGCACAGAGCACCTCTGATTATGCAGCACTCCCCTGATATTGCATTGGAGTGTCAGCCTAGATTGTGAGTTCACAGTAAACAGGGTATAATAATATGAGGTCACATCTACAGTCCTTGATTCGATAGCTTACTCAGTAAGGCTTCAGCAGTTTTAGCTGCTGTATTGTACACAATTTGTTCCTCATTCGTAACCCTTGCCCTGCAAAATTTATTTCAATACTGGGAGCTCGCAGCAACACAGAAACCTGCTTAAAGGCGTCGTACTCTAATCCAGCTACAGTACCCAGGAGTTGAACAAACACTACCCGGTTAGGAAATAGGAACCTCGTGCAAGTCAAGGCATCAGCTGTCTCCCCAGCTTTAATTAGCCTGCTGTCCTATACTCCTCCATCACACTCAAACTCATTCTCAGACTTTCTTTTCTCAGTCCCTCTTAACTTTTTAGCTGTGTTTCTCAATGAATTTTTCTCTCCTCTCTAATTCTCTCTCTAGCTATCAGATTCTTTTTCTCCCAGTTTCTCTCTCTCAGGCTCTCTAACATGTTAGCTGTATCTATCTCTCAATGAGTTTCTCTCTCTGCGCGCTCTATGTCTCTCTCTCTCTTAACTCTTTCTCAGACTCTTGTCTAACTGATCATTGTTTTGACCTACCTTTGCGCTACCAGCAAAAAAATCCAGTTGTACACAATGATACTACACGATATGAATACTGATGTAAGGATTATTATTTTATCATTAATGAAACTGACTGCACTGTGCAGAGAAATCACATCCCTGGTAACCTCATTCCCATGTGGTCAGCTGTTCTTACTTGTCAATCTACTGGCATTTTACTTCATTGCTTAGTTCACAAATATGAGGTGAGCTGTAATTTTATAGGTCTTTATTTGCTGCAAACCTCAAATTAAAGTAGGGTAAAGCAATTGATGTTTTGCCACAAACAACTCTGAATATAAAGCACCATCTGTTATTACTGATAGCCAATGGTATAAACACAGTGAGACACTATTTAATGGGTTAATTGCCTTGAGCAAGAACTGCTCCTGATTTGGCTGAAGAGTTTGGATCCACTAAAAGGTTCATTTCAGTTCACAGTGAATTCAGCCTTGCTTGCTTTCCTGCTCTTCCTCTGCCTCAAGTGGGGACTGAAGATTAGAGCCCTAGAGCTGCCAAAACAATAACTTTTAAAATAATTCCCTTGCTGACACAAAGTGTTTAACCCCTTATTGCCAAAGCCAATGCCCTGGGAGCTCTTTGGATGCAGTTGGTCCGGGTCAAATGCAAGTTACTTGGTGGACATATCCATTTAAAGAGAGGGGATGGGTGCGATCATTTCAAACCACTGTATCTAGTGGGATCTTTAACATTCACCTGAACAGGAAGGCAGAACCTCAGTTTAATCTTATCTGAAAGACGGCTCCTCCAATATCACATTCCCTGAGTACTGTACTGGAATGTCATCATAGATTATGCGAGTTCAGTTTGCCAATGGGCAGCTTGAAGCCAAAATCTCTAACTCAGAGGCGAGAATGCTTCCAACTGAGACAAGGCTGACACATATCAAGCTAAAATAAAATTGTCAAACAGATCACGGGAAGCAGGGCACTCCAAAATTCATTCACATTTACAGGATGAACATCGAACAGATGGCGAGAGCACAGTGCAAATTGACTAAGATGATACTGGGTATGAGAATAAGTGTATTAAGAGAGGCTGGGGATTTTTCACAGGAACGTAGGGGATTGAGAGGGAATATAATAATCCTTATATTTGATATAGTGCCTTTCATGTCACGAGGATGATTTAAAGCACTTTAAAGGATATACTTTAAAGTGTAATGACTTTTGTAGGAGAACACAGCAGTAAATTTGCGCACTGCAATGTCTCACAAACAGCAAGAAGTGAAACTGGAAGAAACTTTTTTCTTTTTGAACAGTGCCACGAGATCTTTAACACCTACCTAAACAGGCAGGACCTTGGTTTAACATCTCAACTGAAGGACCATACCTCCAACAATGCAGCACACCACTAGCACTGCACTTGAGTTTTAACCTAGGCCATATGAGTTCAAAGTGTTGATGTGTGGCTTGATCTCACAGGTGAGTTCAGATGAGAGCGTTACCAACTAGGTGAGATTGACACAATATGATGGAAGATCTGAAGGGACACAAGAGAAATTCCCTTTTATTTACTTGGGAAATCAGTGACAAGTGGTGCAGGCTTAGAATTTTGAGAGAGTCAAGAAGAGGTTAGAAGGACTTTCTTCACTCAGAGGGTTGTTAGGGTGGGGAATTAATTACAGCAAGTAGCTTTTGCAGCTGGTTCAATAGAACTATTGAAAGGGGAACTGGATAAGCATCGAAGAAAATAAAATATTAAGGGATATGAGAAAAGAGCTGGAAATTCAGATTTAATATAATGGGGCAGTTTAAACAAATCAGACAGTGGTGGTACAGCCCAAATGGCCAAATTCTGGGGTGTAAATTTCCTTGTTTCTAATATTTCTTTAGAGAAATATTATTTAATCCATTGGGCAGGTGAAACATAAATCTATCAAGTCACATAAGAACATAAAAAATATTAGAGCTGTGGAGTCCTGTAGCTCAGTGTTTAGAGCACTCACCTCGCAAGTGAGAGACCTGGGTTCGATTCCCAGCAGGTTGAGACCATGGGCAAGTTTCCTTACTCCACATGCCTAATAATAATCCCTCAAGAAAAAAAATAATAAATTGGTCAGTTCAATCCACGACTGTTTGTGAGACACTGCTGTGCGCAATTGGCTGCCGTGTTTCGCCCACAAATATACAGTCAATTCACTTTACAGTATATTCTGCGAAGTGCTTTCAGATGGCTAGAAGACGTGAAAAGCACTATATCAAATGCAAGGATTATTATTATTATAGATGAAAAAAGGTCCATCTAATTCGCCTTCCACTTTCCAGGCAATCACAGGCACATATATCCCAAACTACCTATGTACTATATCCCATAATGTTACTTCCTAAAAGAAAACTATCTAATCTGTGTTTCAAAGACTTCCTGCTTCAACTGTCTACCTGGGGAGCCTGTTGCACAGGTTCACTATTCTCTCACTGAAATAGTGTTTGCATAGATTAGATCTGAATTTAACCCCCTTCAATCGCAGACTTTTCAATCTTCCTCTTTTCCAGCATGAATATGATCAATTTACTTAGTTGGTCCTCATAGTCCAGTCATTCCATTTCCTCCGCTGTATCTTCTCGATTTCTCCAATATCCTTTTTGTACTGCAGCGACCAGAACTGTACCCAGTGCTCTAAGTGTGGTCTCACCAATGATTTTTACAGTAGCACTATTTTGGCTTGCTATTGATCTTTTGATACATCCCAACATCGGGCTTGCCTTATTCACTGACACAGAGCATTGTCGGGAGAGCTTCAATTTATTGTCAATCAGGACCCTCCAAGTCCTTTTCATTTTCCATACATAATATTTTCCTTCCATTCAAATAATAGGCTCTTCCAGAATTTTTTGTCTCCCTGTGAAATACTTTACATTTTTCAACATTGAATTTCATCTGCCACCGATCATAACAAGACGACAAGGGTTTAGGGTTCCAAGAACAAATTTCAGTTCAGACACCAGGAAGTATTTCTTTACCCAGTGGGTAATTAACCACTGGAACAGGTTGTCAGGAAGGGTGGTCAAGGCCAGGACACTGGATTCATTCGAGAAACAGCTTGATGCGGTATTAGGAAGACGGTAGGTGGGTATTCTGGAAGGATGAAACCAGATGAATCGAAGGGCTAAACCGGTCTTATGAAATGGGCCAAAGGGCTTTTCTTCTTTACACACTCAACTAAATGGGAAGCTAAATAGCTGGACAAAAAGGTAATGCATTTTGCACCTCAATGTTTGTTTCAGTGTTAAGAGTTCTGAGACTCTACTCAAATAAAGAGCATTGTGTAAATGCAAGTTGTTGTTGCTTTGTTGTTCCATAAAAGTGGAAGATCTTCTGACTGCATTTTTGATAGAAGCTACCCTATTAAATTTGGCTGCTAAATAATGCAGGAATCATGTGTAAGTTCTGTATTGCCAATTGCCCCTCAGCCCATCACCCTTTGTCAGTTCGCTTAACGTTTAATATCCTTTGATATTATGCAAATGTGCACTGCAAATGGTGAGTGTTGTTAATATTTAATGTCCAAGATATTTCTGTAAATATTGTACAGCAACAGGGCCCCAGCAGTAGCTGAAAGATCAAATGGAAAAATAAATACCAGTTAATTTGATGGATGGCACCTAGTTACAAAGCAAGTCATTCCACTAAGTGATTCCGTTGATGCTGTCAGTGATGACAGGCTCCCAACACTGAACTGCTTCCATAAGCCCACTCTAAGTTTATTATTCTTTCTGCCGTATGATCTATAAAGGAGTGATTAGATAAACTTGTCTGCTTTATTTTGCTAGAAGATCTAATGTGCCTAGTGCTGGTTTTATTTCCACAGCTTGTATCCTTATCCATACTAACCTTTTCTAGCCCATTCCCCCTCTCCCCTTCTTCCTTCTCCTACCCCCACCACCATTCACAGCCAGGCTCCATTGGTTCCATCTCCCAGGAGATCAACTTCAAGATCCTCACCTGTTGCCACTCCCTACCTTTGTAAACTTCTCCAGCCTCACTCTTCCAGTTGCCCATTCTGCTTGGCAATGTCATTGACTGTTTTCTCCCTGCAAGCTCAGGCCTCTAGCAGGTTGTTTGCCCCTGCCACCCATTGTTGGCATTTAGCCCCTATGCCCTCACCCTCTGGAACTACCTCCCTAATCCCTCTGCCTTGCCTGCTTCTCTAACTGTCCTTAAAAGCCTCCTAAAAAAACTAACCTTGCTCCTCCCCTCCCCAACCCTCACTGCTCAGAGTCTGATATCTGAAGGAAGTTCCTCCTGGTATCCTGGCAAACAATCCCCCAAATAAAATTGGTCATGACTGTTTGCGGGACATTGCTGTGGGCAAATTGGCTGTTGTGTTTCATTGCAAAATGTGTTTTATTACAAAATACCCAATCCCTACACATTACAGTAAATCCTGTGAAGGGCTTTGAGACATCCTCCTGATGTGAAGAATGGCATACAAGTGCAAGGATTATTATTATTGGAGCAATAAAGTGCCCTCTACTCTGTCCGACAATCTAATCCAGGCCCAACCTCAGAAAACCATCCCTGAAGTGGCTCCCTGTAGAGTATCAGTTAGAGCAAGGTGAGTGCTCTAACCAATATGCTACAGAGAGTCCTGTGGGGTATTGGTTAGAGCACTTGTCTCACAAGTGAGAGGATCTGGGTTCTATTCCCAGGATAGGGTGAAACGTTAGGCAAGTTTCCTTACTCACACACCTCTGTTTACCCAGCAGTAAGTAGGAACCTGGCTGTTAGTCGATTGGTAGATTGCTTTCTGGGGGTAACAATCCCTTCAAGAAAATATATATAATATGATCACTCAAAATCTACTGTTTGTGGGATACTGCTGCGTGCAATTGGCTGCTATGTTTTGCCCACAAAATACAATCAATTTATAGTATATTATGTGAAGTGCTTTGAGACGTCCCAACGAAATGATAAGGAGCTTTATCAAATGCAAGGATTATTATTATTATTATTATTGACATGTTTCACTCCCTCTAAAACCCTGGACAGCCTCTCCCAGTGAGATTGCAGTGGGGTGTTATTCTTCACCCTTTGTCAATGCCTTTGATAACAGTGCTGCCTGTAACTGGAAAAGAGAAGTGACTGGTATTTTTAGAACATGAAATGTCAGTGGATGTTTGGTTGTGAAGTTCCACAGCTTGTTTTCGCATCCACTATCCCCAGGAAAACATATAGCAGGTGGCAAATCAAATGTTTAGTTATTGGGCTGAATTCTGAGGTGTAAGCAAGTTCTATTTATTTAAGTATCTTAACCAGGCATTATAGTTATAGTCGCTTCTAGCAGAAAAACAAATTGAAAAAAAATAAAAAGGGTGTATAGATATCACAGACTCGGATATTGGAATAATATTAATGAATAATAATAGTAATATCATTTGATATGATACCTTTCAATCAGGTGGACATCTCCAAGCTCTTCATAGGGTTCACTGTAAAGTGTAGTGACTGTATTTCGGAGGTGAATACTGCAGCCAATTTGCACCCATCATTGTCCCAGAAACACATTGAAAGATCCTGTGGTATCATTCAGAGTAGGGATTCATTTCTAGTATTCTGGCATACAATTCTCCAGATAAAAATCTATCATTTGACTGTTAATGTGCAATTGGTTTTACCTACAAATACAGTCATTATTTTTTACAGTAAAATTTTGTGAAGTGCCTTGAGATGTATCGAAAATGTGATAAGTTGCTGTTATCTAATGTAAACAGAGATTATTATTATTATTATTTATTATTATTTGCCTGATGGGGACTGGTTGAGATGTTGAACTCTACATTTTTAGTTAAACATGAATGACTTTAGTGCCATTCTGGTTGCTATCAATCTCAGTACTTGAAAGGCAGTCATGCAGGGTGGAGTTCTGTCATATCGGTAACCAAGATATGGCTCCCATCTGGCAAGACATGGCACGAAGATCACAAGACATGATGGTCTCAAAATGAGAAGGGAAGGGGGAATAAACACTAGATTTATGATGTGCAGTAGTTTATTTGGGCAGGTGGTGATGGCAGTTCCAAGAGGGAAATCGGAAGACATTTAATAGTGAAGACGACTGGGAGATACGTGAGATGTAGAGAAGTGGTAATTGAAAAATGGCCCATTCAGATAGACTATTGTGATTATTTCGACTGTCATGTCCCTTCCCTTTCCAAATAATGTCTTTAATGTTCTTCCTTTATCGAGGAGATTGTCCTGGCCAACAATTAACTTTAACGTATCTAAATAAAGCTGCAATGGCAAAAAAAGAATGAAAATTATTGGAGATGATAGCTGTCTGACCTTTAATTACCCAGCATTATGAGTTTGAGCAAAGCAATATTTTCATTGCAGACATGGGGTCAAATTGAATTTCCTAGATATAATCCGCAATAGCTTAAACCACTTGTGTGTTAGCCTCAAAATAAACAAAAATCTTCTTTAATTTTTCAGCATGCAAGCCAGGAACTATGAGCACAACCTACCCCTGTCTCAGATGTTGAAGGAAGCATATTCTGCGAGGGAAAGAGAAGTTTACTGCGCCAATATGATGTCCGAGGCCTCCTCCCACGACATGTACTTTGACTCCCTGTCAGATTTCCAGGAGGACGGGGCAGATGGTGCTGAGCTCTCGGCTTTTCTCACTCAAGAGGAGATGAGCAAAAGCCTCGACCTGGCCCGTGAGGCCTTTGAGGACAGTTTGTCACAAGAAGCCACCCTGGACGCAGAGCTGGAGAATGTTTCCAATTGCTTTCAGCATTATCCCTCGGTGACGAATCCAGCCATCCCGGAGACCAAAGCAGTCTCTCAGCCGGACTGTCCTCAGCCGTCAGTGAGCCGGACTGCACAGGAAATCAGCACCAGCAGCAAACACATGGGCAGTGCCGACGACAGTCACCGAGCAGCCATCCCTCGGCACCCACTCCTTGATCAGAGTCACCGGCCAGATCTCGGCAGGGACGGCTTGGCTATCGGGAACTTCCACGCTAGTGGAATGAGCGTTCCTCACAAGGAAAATACTACAACTGACCCAAAAGGAAACCAGAAATGCGTTTACCAGAGCGAAAGTTCCGCCAGGAATGAATTCCGCAGCAAGGCAGTGTCCTTCATCGAGGAGCTGTCCTCCATCTTTCGGACCGTCCGGCCTAGGAGCTTGGAAACAGAGACAGGGAAAAGCATCGAGGAAGATAACTCCTCTCCTGACAGTGGATATCTATCACCAAAGAGTCACGCAAAGGCTACCAGTGCTGCCACCGAGCAAAGCAAATCATCTGAGGCCAAATTGCAGGTGGTGGCTGACTTGGAATCCAGGGATGAGACTGAGCAGAGTTGGGCAATGGATCAGACCACTGCAGGTGACCTTCATGCCTCTGACTCAGCTCCCAGGTTCATTCAGAAGCTAAAGAGCCAGGAGGTTGCTGAAGGGAGCACAGTTCGGCTCGAATGCAGGGTCACGGGGAACCCAAGTCTTTTAATCAGGTAAGTAAAAGCTGCTCTTGAGATTTGAGCTGTCTTCTTGTACTGTAAGCACGGAGTTTTAACAGAAGTTGGGGGGGGGGGGGGCGAAGAGAGAGGGGTAATTTGACTCTAAGATTAAGAGGACAGGAAACAGGTCTAGTTTGTAGGGTTCAGAACCACTCTGTTCAATATCAAGATCAGAACGTTTTCCTGCCCTGATTTAAAACTACAAGCCAGATGTACTTATTGAAAACAGCCAGCCTGTAGAATGTGAGGTCCATGTAGATACTTGTCACACAAGAACGAGGAACCTCAGCAGCAAGTTTAAAATTATAAAATGTCTTTGCAAAACGATCCTTATTGATTGTTGTGACCCAACATAAGCGGACGGAACTTCAAATTGCGAACCGTGAATGGTGCTGTCAGGTAAATCTCTAATGTGAATGATTGGCTTCATTCGGTTTGTTGCTCGTGTACTGAATCAATAGATGAAGTGGCTACAGCTGGAAACTTTTGTTCCGAGATGGTGCTCTTGTGTTCAGTTGAATCTCATGACATCCACCTTCCTATCTTGTGTGTAAGGAATATTTTTATGGAGTATTGTGCTGTGCAAGCATATAACAATCAAAGTGTGAAACACTGCACACCTGAAAAAAAAAAGCCATAGAATATTCCCAAAGGAATGAAGTTGTGGGAACACAGGATTCGTTCTTAGTCAAATTTTTTAATAAGGGAATTTCTACCATCCCGTGGGCCTTCTAATCCAGTGCCATCTGGAGTCTAGTCTGAGAGAGTCACAAAACAATCTGTAACTAGAAAGTCCTGGTGTCTGGATGCTGACCAGCTGGAACTCATTGGGGTCATGGAGACTCCTTACACCTGAGAGGAGATCGATGTCAATATGGGTCCAAAAGTTCCAACAGTTCTGCCTCCAACAGTGTTTGTGGAATGAGCAATGAGACGAGCTAGAGCTCCTCAGCTTTGAACAGAGATGTCTCGGAGAAGACCTTATAAGAGGTTTGTAAGATTTTAAATCAGATTGAGAAAGTTAACTCAGAGCAAACTTTTGAAAGTGCTAAAACAGTAGAACAAGAGGGCACATGTTCAGTGTTGCAAAGAGCAATTTCAAGCCAGACACCAGGAAATATTGCTTATCGCTGAGGATAATTAATAACCAGAACAGAGTCTGCATCGAATCTGCAATTGGCCCTCAGAGCAATCATCCATTCACTCCCACTACGTTTGATTTATTCATTTTCTCCTTCAAGCCTCTAGCTTTCATATGGCTGTCCACCTCCCTCTTGAAACCCACAATGGTTTTTGCCTCTGGTACCTTGCTTGGCAGGGTATCCCACATACCAACAACCCCTAGCCAAGGAAGGTGGATGGGCACCTGAACTGGGAATGGGAAGGAGCGGGGTTAAACTGGGGAAAAATAACTAAAAGTGCGGTCAAAGAGGCTATTTTGAGATGTACCTTGAATGAGGGGAGGGAGGGAAGGAGGGAATGAATAAATAGATCAATAGCAAACTTGTTGACACACCCTGGGCTATTCTGGGCTCAGTTCACTAAGTTTAGCAATTTGCTGCTCTGTCCTCATAAATAAACATAGCATTTTATATGCATTATCTATTCTAGATTTGTTTTACATTCAGATCGTTTACATTTATTCATCATCTAAAATATCATTCTGGTTACTTAGAAGAGTACTGTGACAAATTGGGTACACTTAGTGAGTGTGGCAGATAAGCCCAGCACACAAAAATAAATGTTGTACTGTTTTGTAAACAGTACTCTACATTTACCGTACTGTAAACGTAGCTATTCAGTCACTGTTACAGAAACCCTCCCTCCCTACCTTAGCTGTAGGAGGGCAGGGAGGAGGAAAGGGAGGGGACGTCTCACCTACCTCTTCGCTCAGGGCAGCATAGAATTTCATACGTACAGGATGTGGAGTCCTGAATAATAAGATCCCTCCCCCCCAAAAATGTTGTCACTCAATCGACTACTGTTTGTGGGACACTGTTGTGCGCAGTTGGCTGCCGCGTTTCACCCACAAAATATACAGTCACGACACTTTGTAGTACATTCTGTGAAGTGCTTTGCAATATTTCAATGGCATGATATGGCGCTATTTCAAATGTGAGAGAGGTGAAATATACTATTGAATCTCATTGAGGGTTAATAGTAGTGAACCTTAGGGGGAAAGAAATTGCTAAATTACTCTGCAGGTACCAGCAATGCACAGGCTTGTTTCAAACTGTATTGAGATGTTCCCTTTGGGTGTCAGAGTCATAGTGGAAGCCACCACATAGTATTTCTGCATTTAGTTCAAAACAGCTACGGTGAATCATCCAGCAGTTTTTATGCTGGATCGCGGGTCAGAGAGTTAATCAAAGCACAAGGCCGGAGCCAAGTGCTTTAATTAGCTCAAGGCCCCCTGTTCCAGCACCAAATCTGCTGTATCACTGACCATGGCTATTTATAACTGGCTGAGGACAAGCCTCGTTCATGCTCACTTCAGCTAAACTTTCCACATCAGCGGCAAAGAGCTTGAGTTTGCTTTTACAATATGCTGTTTCTGCTGCCAGCAGTGTGAAATTCATCCTACCAGGGATATTTACTTTGGTTCTCCATCTTTCTTGTTGAAGAATTTATTTGCTATCCACTCGCATGTCTCTCTCAAGATTTAATGACTGTCAGCCAGTCAGTCAGTCAGTCAGTCTATCCAAACCAAACCTTCAATATTACTCAGTCATACATTAGCATGTCTAGCTGGTTTCTCAGCTGTTAGGTTTGACAGATTTAATGATGTACCTACTGTACAAATGAATGATTCATTGCTGGAATGGCCACTGAGAGCTGACTCGAGCATAATGTGTCGCCGAGTGCATCTGTCTGTATCCAGAATTATTTTTGTTTAAGAATCTACACTAACTATTGTGACCATCAGTAGGGTCTTTGAATAAAACCCATTTGATTATATTAAGAAAGGACAGTGCTTTAAGAGTGAGACAGCCATCTGGCAAGCAATTAACTGAGGGAGACTTAAACTCAGCAACTGAGGCCTGGTAAATGGAAGCGATGTTTCCCAATGAATACATTAATAGCAATTGTTTAAAATAAAAATTGACTGACCAGAGAAGCTGGATGCTGTGTGAACTCAGTGACATGCCATCATGGTAAATGGTTTCATGTCTTAGCAGCAGCTGATCATTTAACTGGTTTAATGGGAGATGCATATTTAGATATTTTGATTAACTATCTAAGATTCCCAAAGCTTTCCACTCTGTGGTAGACAGAATTAATTGCTAACAACATCTCCATTATTGTAGCATGCCAGGATGCTAGAAGGCAAACTAGCTGGATCTTGTTTTTTTTCATCTAGGAATTCCTATGTTCCTATGCTCCTATGCAGTAAGTTCTTTCTAATATCAGGTCAGCTGTCTGGTAACCAACTTGTGTTGGGAATGGTAGAACCTTTCAGCACAGTAGAAGGGCATGCAGCCCATTGTGCCACTGCAAATTATCTGGAAAGGGCTATCTGTTAGCTTACACATCTCTGCTTTTTCCCCCTTTTATATTTATTTGTTCAATTCCCTGTCCTCATTGGGACATATCGCTGATGCTGAGCTAGATCCAGGGTGAAATGTCTGGTAAATCAACTGACTTTGGTGGATGTGATGGTCAGTACTTGGACTGGGTAGATCTGCAGTGCTCAGCCACTGCCGATGATTGGACTTTCTGCCTACTCCATCAATGAGACTTGCAGGGTTGACATTGTGACTGGGGGCAATGTTATTCATTTCAATTCAGCTCCTGATACAACAAAACATTGCATTTACATAGCGCCCTTCACGCAGGATAGCATCTCGTTGGACATCAGGCAGGGAGGATAGAGGATGAGGTGACCATAGGCGAAGTCCATCTCCCATCTCTCTGCCTTCCCTCACCCCTACACCACCCCTCACCCATGCTCTGGCCACGACACCTGACTGTTCAGCGCTTTGGGACGTCCTCCCGACGTGAAAGGCGCTATATAAATGTAACTTTGTTGTTGTTGACAAAGAGGCAGACTTTAACATGGGTTTTAAAGGGAGATATCTACAAGACAACTCAACATAACTGCAAGACAATACGCCACCAGATAAGGTGATCCTAGCAGGTGGCTTGCCATTGCCGTGCATGATAAGCTGTGTGGATTTAGCTGGTTCATTTCCATTGCACACATTGGTGTCCCTAACACCTTGGCTCTGCCAACCTGCACCTGTTCTTTATTCTGCAGAACGCTAACACTAAACTAAATTTAGATTTGGTGTATTCAGAACTGGTCATTGTCACGGTCTGCGGTGTTACAGTAAGTGGTGCTTGGCTGCTTCTCAGCTGCAGAATTAAAGCTTATTAGCATTTTACATAGCAATAGAAGAAAATTGCTCTAAAATGATTAAAAAAGAAACAAACAACAGGGAGATCCAGGCCTGAAGTATGCCAGTAGACCTGCACACCGTCCAAAGGCACTTGGATGAGAGTTGACATAGACAATAGAACTCTTCATGAAGAGAAAGCTCAGGAGAGGAAAAGAACACATTTCACAAGTGGGAGCCCAGGAAAATCTGACCTTTTTAGATTATGGCCATAACGATATCAGCAGCCAGGTCAGCATAATAATAAACATTACATTTCATACAGCGCCTTTCACGTCAAGAGGATGTCTCAGAGCCCTTCTCAGGATATGCTGTAAAGGGTAACGACTGTGTTTTTGTAGGCAGATGTGGCACCTACAACAACAGCTTGCATGTATATAGTGCCCTTCACAAGGGCTAGCATCTCAGAGTGCTTAACAATTGTGTAGTTTGAAGTCTGAGCCGGAGAGAGGGGAGGTGACCATAGGCACCTAATTTATCCATATCAATGTCCTGCAAACAGCCGTGAAGTGAAGTGAAACTGTTTTTATCTGAAGGACTGTTGACCAGGATATGCAAGGAATTTATGTCATGCACACAGCCTGGGCTCCACAGACA